AAGTGATAAGAAGTATATAATTACCCATTTTAAGAGGACGCTACACCCGCATGTGTTGTCTCCGTCTTACAAGTGCATAACATTGCAAAAACTGTTGCGTGCGGGAAAGAACCGAGAAAGCTACAGTTATAAGTATAACTAAGAAACAAAATTTTCACCACATAAAAAGGAGAATTTCGTCTGTGCAATATCGTTTTTATTTTTTCGATATCAGAACTACAAAAAAAGTAATTAATGTATTATAAAACAAAAAGAATTTATTTTGTATAAGTGATATCGAAAAAAAATAAAAACAATATTGCACAGACAAAATTYTCCTTTTTATGTGGTGAAAATTCCGTTTCTTAGTTATAACTGTATCTTTCTCGGTTCTTTCCCGCGTRAAAATGTTTTTGCAATGTTACGCACTTGTAAGACGGAGACAACACATGCGTGTGTAGCGCCAAATTTTAAATTTGTACACTTTCGGTAGGTGCATATGCCATACAAATTACTATTTTCCAATGGTAACGTCAATTTTTTAGTAATGTTTTTCAAACAATTTTTTCATAAAAAGTTTTTTTGTTATACAATTTGTAAAGTTACAGTATGATTAAAATTAATATTTATAAATTATTTACCTTTAAGGATATCGCAAACAGACAATTGTTTGAACTAAAATGTACCAATCTTTTGACAATCATACCAAAGAATCTGTTAATGTGATGTAACTTATGAAAACTGATTTGAATTCTGTAATATGTCTACTTGATATCAATCAAGCTACTTTTTTAACATATTGTACTGCAATTCCAATACATTTTGTTTGAATTTTTGAAATTTATTTAAATTTAAATATGGCCTGACTGATCACTGGTAGACAAAAACAAATCAGTTTTCAGAAGAATTATCGAGTTATGAAGTCTATTAATAGGATTGAGAACCTACAAAAAAAATCTGATATTTAAAACTGTTTTTTAGGGATTAATAAATAGCATTAAAAATATNAGACAAAAACAAATCAGTTTTCAGAAGAATTATCGAGTTATGAAGTCTATTAATAGGATTGAGAACCTACAAAAAAAATCTGATATTTAAAACTGTTTTTTAGGGATTAATAAATAGCATTAAAAATATKGACGACAATTATGGAAATATTTATATTAATTTTGCTTCTCCCTTTTCACTTCAAAAATATATCAAAGATATTAATGCAAATGGAAAAAATAACAAAGATAATATTATATCAACTCTTGCTCATGAAATCATTTATTGGTAAATTGTTTGCGTTGTAAATTATATGCAAGATCGTATTAACAGATATATAATACAATTTTAAATGTATAATGATGAAATATTTATTTTTATTTTTAGGCAACAACATAATATGATTTTATCATACTTTAATATTTTATCAGTTGCACTGATTTATAACATTTCTAAAAATATGACTGAAGCTATTCATTTAGATGTAATAATAAATCAAATAGGTTGGATAAGTACACTATTTAAAAAATGTGGGGCTCAAATTGAAGTGCAAGGTAAATATTGGAATAAATTATATTAAATTTTAAGTAGCATATACAACTATTATCTTATTATCTAAGGATRATATTTGATATTCTATTTGTATGTATGCCTTAAATGCTTAAAATACAAAATTTAAAATTTATTTTTTCAAAATTTTTTTAATACTTCTTCTTTTTCGGGTGTAACGGCCACTAGGTCCATCCCGTCAAACATCAATACTAACAAACTTTATAAAGCTGATAATTAATTTAATACATTTTGTCAAAATATGAACTTTAAACGGTAATAAAGAAAAAACGTGCCTATGTATTTTTGACATTTTCAAACTGCTATTATATCAACTTATGGGGAACCTTGTATTAAATTTTTAAGCTTTTACC